CAACTTTTTGGATACTTTGGGTGTCACGATATATTTGACGCTGACTGTATACGTTGATGATATCACTTTGATAGCATATAAAATGTTTATGGAATTTTTGACGCGATTCTCATTAAGCAATCGTAGAACTGTTATCCGAATATACCTCAGTAAACTTTTCGAAAACTTAATAAGGTTTTATTATAAAGCTTATTCGATATTTACAGTCCGAGTTACATCTACGTAGGTACCTATCCGTAAACAAGGTCAATTTCTTAATTCGAAAAGGGGTTCGTTTATTGGTCTTCAAATAAAACTTTATTTTCCATCAACCGAATTTAAACCTGCGTGACCAGCCTCGAAGCCCAAATTGAATTTACACATCACCGTAATAACATTCAATCGACATCTCATTACAACAAACCGCGGGCTAAGCCTCGCTAAACGATGCATTTCATTAAAGAAACCAAAGAGAAATAATCCAATTTCGGCTTTCAACAATCAGCTCTATCAATCACCGGCTTATTACGCGTCGTAACTTGAAAAATATGGCAGCCGTAGACGGCAGCCGGTCATCCATCACGGCGAAACAATACTGGACCTCCATTAATTACATAATCGAAGCTAATTAAAATGTAATTCAATAAGAGCTTCGGAGTAGTGATGTGCTGACGATTTTGACGCGAGTTTTCGTATCAAAGAACGAAATATTACGATTTTGATCGTGCGCCACGAGCTGTGACGATTGTGACGTATGGCAATTTCAATGTAATCTGAGAGGTGCTTCAAGCCTAAAATTTCATGATGTGCATGATAAGTTATGCGATAACGTTTAGCTAATGACGTAATACTATCGCTCACAGAGTACATTTGCATTTTTAGACACACGATTGGACAGAAAAGAAACAATTAGAGGATTGTTTAGAAGTTCAAACGCACAACTTTACCTGAGACAGAAAAGTAAAAAAATGAAATGAAAAAGCATCTCATAGCAGTAACGAAGGCATAAATAGAAAGAAAATGCGTCACGCTGACAATGGAGTAGGTACTACCAAAACCATCGTAGGTACCAAGGTATGGTTATGAAAAAATATGTGGTGACGATGGAAAAGAGAACCTGAAACTGAGACTCAGTTGCAGTCTTTCCATGCCCTACACGTGTAGCTAGGTTAATGAAACCAACACGATCCGAGATATTCTAACAGCACAATGACAGAAGAATCATTCGATTATTAATCGAGTCGCAGCAATACCAGTGCCCCACCGAAGGGGATGCTCGTGGGACGTGCGTGGGCCCTGATTGGATTTGTGACTTCGTAATGACTATTAATCTAAAATTCAATTATAAACCGACGATTATTTGATGATACAAAAAGAAAGCCGTGACTCACGACCGGTAGTTTTAATTTGTAATACACGGTGTGGTTTTTAAGCCTTTTTGACTTAATCGGAGGCTAACAAGCGTTAGGCGGCTCACACACTCAAGCAATCGGCGACTTACAACGGCTTTTAATTAAAAACTTGTCGGCTCTGAGTCGGATGCTATACTTAACTTGTTTGCAAAAGTAATAGAGAAGGATGTAATTTGCATAATATTTTTTTTATCTGTAGGCATCTACATTTATATGCTGAGCATTCAGGCTCTATTTTGGCAGTTGGGATAGCGTTTTGTCTGTCACTTAAATTGCAATCGTAGGGTTTGCCTGATGGATCGGTAAATACTTTTGAACATTTTACACTATGTCATAGTCACTGGTTGGTAAAGGTAGCAGGGAGGTTCTCACCATGAGATGATTAGGTTATCATTCATCAGCAACCATATCTAGATTTATATGTTATTTCGTCTACTGACCTACGCTATTATAATATCAGAGTAATCGGTTCCCTTGCTGGTATTGGTAATTTAACTTTGTAGTTCTGAAATACCTATTTTAAGGCTAGTGTTCTGAACTGATAACAGTACTCCATTTAAACTCAAATATTGATTAGTGTCTGTCATTGTTTGGATTTCAATATTTGGACCAATCACAGGCTTGAATATTTATTTCAGCATAGAGACTGATGATGCTACTTGAAATTAACGCTAAACTTTAGTTGGGTAGGTACTTACATATTTTTGAAACTCTATCGTAGCTGCTAACAAATTATTAATTTGTAGTAGACATTCAATCTAATTCATTTATTTTATCTGATTTTGAACTAGTGATAGACTAGTGTGTAAACTGCTTTATGTGTTAATATTATTAATTAAACTTAATAACTTCTCAGCACAATAATGTTGAAGATATTAATTGATTTGCATATATGGCCATTTTTAATTAATCTTGATATTTAGAATATTAAACTAGCTGTAAATTATAATTAAATAAATAACATATTGAGGCGTTGACGTGATAATTAAATATCTACCTTTATAAATGAGTTCTTGCTTAAATTGAAATAGCTTTAAGTTATTAACCTTTCCAACAATCAGAAAGACGGAAATTCTTATATTTTTAAATGATTGTGATTGGACTTGTTGCAATATGCCAATTATTTAATTAATACTCGTAATTAATATGCATTTATCCTGCATAGTATTCACATAGGGTTTTCTCATCTATCTCCCGTTTTAAAATAGAGGAAATTTCGATATTTAATTGCTACTTAGTTCCAAGACAGTTTGTAGTCCCTCAGGTCCTTTACGCCTAAAGCAGACTTTTTTCAAAACCATGACTGCGTTTCACGTGTCTTGACAATCAGAACATTCTTACTGTGTGTGTTTTAAAGCCTATTCAACTAAGCTAAATAGATGCTTGAGTTAGAAGAAGAAGTTCAACACAATAGTCCAGCTAACGACGGGTATCGAACTACCGGCCCTCGAATCGGTGACACTAAAAGGCCTCAGCCTCGAGTTTAGCGGGCAGCTCGCGCGGCGCTTTAGCGGCGAAGTGTTGTGTTCGAGGTTGTGTTGTCGAGATATTTGTTTTTATTCGCAAACGAAATGTCTGAACAACGGCGACAATTTTATTTCGATTCAAATTTATTCCTAACGCTCGATTTATTGTGGGCAAAAGAAGGAGTGCGCTGCCCGCTCGTTGCCCGCTCCCGCGCCGCTGTTTTCGAGAACCGGTCTATTTGATTTTACGCATAAGATCCTGCCGCTCCCGCGCCGCCGCCACTCCCGCCACGCTGCCCGCTAAACTCGAGGCTGAGCAGTGGCGGCGTAGCATAGGTTGGCACCCGGGGCGGCACCCCCCCCCCCCCCTCCCCCCCGTATATAAATTATAGCCTAAGGCACCCCAGAATGGCACCCCCCTGTCATGACATCACGACCGTCCTTGCCATGCAGATGCGTCAGTGAGTACTAATCTGCGCGACTTTGTCACCCCCTGATGCTTGGCACCCGGGGCGGACCGCCCCCACCGCCCCCCCCTTACGCCGCTACTGAGGCTGAGGCCTAATACTGTTGGGCTATTATCACTGTTAAGGTTTAATATGGCTAAGGTTAGGATGTAGATCCTGGCTAATGGGGAATACAGTAGCATATCCCATAGTAGAAAGGTCATAGAAGAGCTCTGCAGTTTTAAGATCTAGGTACAGTCGAGTTCATAAATAAATTGACAATGCCAAATGTTTCAAAATATTTTAGTGCAGTCAATACTGCGCTACCGCAACATGTTCATCATCACCATCATCATCATTTCAGCCGTAGGACGTCCACTGCTGAACATAGGCCTCCCCCAATGTTTTCCATGTTGATCGATTGGTAGCGGCCTGCGTCCAGCGGTTCCCTGCTACCTTTACAATGTCGTCGATCCACCTTGTAGGTGGACGTTCCACGCTGCGTTTTCCGGTACGCGGCCTCCATTCCAGAACCTTGCTGCCTCATCGGCCGTCAGTTCTGCGTACTATGTGCCCTGCCCATTGCCACTTCAGCTTTGTCGCCGCAACATGTTGATGAACAGTTTGTATGATTACTTTTTATTGATGTTTGAGTTTTTATTGCAATATATTTTATGATCGTTTAAACGCTAACAATATTTTGAAACATTGGCACTGCCAATATAACATTTATGAACTCGACTGTACATCTAAGAATGTTGAAGGCTTCGAGTATGTATCTTCTACAGCAGTTCCAATCCAAAAGAAAAGACATAAATTCAATTAACTTGTTTATTTTGATACGAAACAATCATTTCATTCAGATGTTTGTGAAACAGGAGCTTAATTTTCTAATAATGTTTATGTAGTTTTAAATACATAGATATGAAGTATATGCGACCAAGTTTACATATTGATTCTTTGGCGTGATATACATAAAATATATGACCAATTTTCTTTATACAGGGTGTAAAAGATAGAGCATAATCTTAAACAGTAAAATTATACTGTTTCCCAAATATGTAATAACAATGGAATTTCTTACTTGAAAAGAAAATAGGATGGATTTTCTTTTTTCTAAGAATGATATTAAAACAATAAAGTATCATGTCATAAGATCAGACTAAGTACATTTTTTGTTGCAAAGTTATTCTTATTACAATGATACTTTAAGACGTATTGTTAGATAAGTGACATCGTATGTTTATTTAGAAGAAGTTAAACAAGAAAATCATCTTACTATGAAGAATATGGATTAAGATCGGATTAGTGACGATAAATTATAAGTCACACACCCTGTGCTTATAATTATGAAATAAATAAGATAGGTATACATAGAAAACCATACCTGCTTTCAGGCTAATTAATAAATAGAAGTTTATTCAAGTTTGGTTGTAAAAATAATAATGATGGTATTAAGTCATAAACAGCAGGTATTTGCAGACAAAATCACCCTTAAGGTCACCATAACAAATGTGTAACTATTTTTTATTATTGCACTTTTATAATTCAAATACATATAAATGAATTTGTGTAAAACCGTACATACTTATTTACTTAAAATTTAAACAAGAATATCTTTTGAAAATAGTTTTTTGTTTTACTTAAAGGAATCCCATGTTCAAAAACATTAATTTGAAATCGAATGTTGCAAAAAATTAATTGAAAAATGCAGAAGTTTCTAACTTGGGTCATTAATAAATAATAATAAAGTCAATGTAACGAAATTAAAACTATTAGGTACATTTGCCGGAATTTAAATGATCAATTCCTAAATATCCGTAGGAATCAATAGATTTTATCAACTACATAATACATTATTCATTGTATGTATAGTAGATAATAATATGTATAACGTATAGGAAAGGCACGCCGGAGGCACAAAACAGTAGTATTATAATAAGTACATAATTTAATCATAATTATTATCACCTTAATACATAAGCTTAACAAAAATAAGAATACCGCTTAAAGCTACAATAAATAACAATAAGGTCTGTAACTGGACGGATCAGGGAAAACTAAACCTTATCTTAAACCTAGTAAGATTTCAAATGCACTTAAAAATAAAAATATCATATCACTACAATATCTCCATACATAATCAATCTAATTACAATATTTAATAAGGCACTCTACGTAATTTTATGCCGTTCGATTTATTTATGTTTTTCGCCCCTTCCAATTAATGCACATTAGAAATCCTACTAAGTTGTGTAATATAAAATCTACTATTTACTATTATTATCTTACAGGGCAACACTGACGCAAATGTCAAACGCCACGCTTGTTCCCGCCAACGAGTGAATTCCTTGTGGTCTGTGGTGGAGCTCAACTAATCAGGTCTGTGTGGTGTCTCTGCCTAAGGATTTCCAGCCTGAGCTCGTGTTCCCTAGCCGCCATTCTTAGAGCAGCAATACTGGAGCTTCTTCTTTCAACTTCTGGAGCGTTTGGAGGGGACTCGCTGCCTGGTGATATAGGGGGTGAAACTGGAGGGGGGTCGGGGGATTGCCGAGGGGGGGCGGCTAGGCCCGCTAGGAGGGAGTGGAAGGGGGGTGAGCTGGTGTAGAGGGGGGCGCTGAAGAGAGGCGGCCGGGGTAGAGGCGCTCCGAGGTATTGGGCGCCCAGCACTGGACCGCCGGCGTATCTGTGGGTGGAAGATGAAGATGAGTAACTTATACATTTCAAGCAAATCAATTTAGGTCTACCTAAGCCGTTAAGCTTGGTAAGAATTTCAAGAACATTTAACTACAAAACTTTATAATTCTTATGGTTTTGATAAATTTAAATTTTACGAATGCTGACTGCTTGATTTATGAAGAGGGTAAAAGTCATATGAGAGCAGTTCACAAGACGTATTCCACCGTTATCATATTGAATTGGTTTGTCATGGATGAGTGAGTAGGTAGATATTCAAAAGCGCTTTTGCACTGTGAAAAAATTTGCTTGTAATATAGTCAAATTCCAGCATTAAATAGCGAAGAACCGTTTATTAAAGTGTAGTAGTTATAATGCAACTGCGTAATCAATATTGTTCGATTACTAGAATGCTCTCCAAATGCTCTCCCGATGAGATCACCTTTATAATTTAAAAAAAAGTAGATTATTAGTAATTTGCTATTGCACAAATTACTAATACTCCCGTTAGCCCCTCGTACTAAGCTAAATATGCTTGTGTCACGAGTGAGCTCACCACAATAGTCGAGCGGCGGCGGGGACCGAACCCGCGTTCCCCGGATCACGAGTCTGCCAGTCCGACCCCTTCACCGTTCGGCTATCGTAAAGCATTAAAGCGGCTGTTAAAGATTCTCACCTAAAAGACGCCAAGGCATTAGTGTCGAACGGCTTCCTGAACCCGAAGCCCAGCTGTGAGAAGGGGTTGGGCATGGACGCGACGACCGACGGAGGGGGGGCGCCCCCACTCGCGGCTAGGTAGGGGTTGTAGGGGTGCGCTTGGGGGCCCACCTTTTCTTGCTTACGCCACTTTGCTCGACGGTTTTGGAACCACACCTGGAAAGAGGAGGGGGTTGGTGAGTATGGCAAGCACTTAAATTTAAACTAGGTGACTTGGTGAACTTCAAACCAATGGAAATTATAATGGTGAAAGAATTTTTCAAATCGGCCCAGTAGTTTCGGAGCTTAATAAATACAGACAAACAGAAAATTCTTTTCTCTTTCTAATGTTAGCGTTTTCAGTTTTCTTCTTTTCTTGTGCCTAAATAACATCTTTCCCACAAATACTTATGTCTTGACGGCATACACATAGGGTCTCGTGACATGTTATTTTAAATACGGAAAGTAAGTACAGAATAATAATTATTTAAAATAACATGTCACAAGGCCCTATAATATTATCTGTCATACATCCTGGGATACAAAAATTTGTTAGTGCGTGCCGGTGTGGTTATCCCCACCGTTTTTTAAATATTGACAGTCAAAAAGTATTTGTCAACCAACTGTTCTTCATGTCTAATGGGGCTCACATGCTAAACAAAAAAGCATATCCCAACATGGTGTGACGTTGCAACTAAATCAATGACCAAACTCGAAGTTAAATTAACTTGTCCGCTAGACCAGGCCCTACAGCTGATTAGCACACAATAGCTTATTAGTTAGGTCCGGTGTTTCAAGCTCTTATTCTAGCAAAAAACTATTTCGAAGCATTCCTGAGAAAATTAATGGCCGCAAAAACATATGGCCACAAAGGAAGCGAGATGGATTAGTTAATTTTTAAAACAGCGGAATGTGGTATAAATAACTGGGTTAGATAACATGTGTTTGGCGAGGAACCTGTTTATGGAAACAACTTTTTTCTTTTGATTAAGAAAGAAAGAGAAAAAATAGGCACAGGGAAACTTTTTAATTTGACTATCACAAAGAAAAAATACAAAAAGAAAAAAACTATAGCAAATGCAAATGAAAAAATAAAAAAAGACTGAATAACTTTGCTATAGCCTTTTTTCAACAATTTAAATACATACATAGAAATTATACTACTAATAAAATGTAAGTTAGTGTCAAAGTATTACCACAGATTATTAATAAGTTGACAGTAACTATGAAAAAATACGTCCAGCGTTCCAGTTTGGTTGCTAAAATGGTTCATAACTAATTCATGACTCACAAAAACCATGGAACTATGGGAATAACCCAACGGTATTTTGAATTGCAGCCTTTGAATTATGTCTTAACGCCTCAGGGCTCGACTGTACTCCAAAGTGAATATTTTAACTTTTTCTTTCTAATTTTTATTAGCTCTAATAAATTCATTAAGACAAAAACTTAGACTATTTTTAAAACATCGAGTAGGTACATGACATAACATAAAAAGTTCAATATATTCCCATTTCATGGGATCGACCCTTGTTCCTGTTAAACGTTGATTTCAAAGACAGTTGTGCTATGTGGATGTGTTTTTTCTTTTTTTTGAAAGAATATCAGCAATTTGTAAATACAAATTACTTACAATCCCGGTAATCCCTCGGGTTACATTTACAACCATGTTTTTGATGGTAACGTGCGATAAATTCTCTATACTTAATAGCCATAACTTTCATTTCCGAAACCGATGCAGACAAAATGCGATCAGAAACTACTTCTAAATCTTGGAAAGTAAAAAAAAAAACATTAGACGAAATAAAATTAAGTGGCAAATAAATGATAGAGTTAAAGGGCACATACCCAATTAAATTCCATAGTTTAGTCATGTTTTGAATGTTTGTTTCTGTACTTCACTGTACCTGCTTATTAGCAGTTTGAAAGTGTCATACAAATCTATTAATGCCGTGTACAATGAAATTGTAAATGTCAATTACAAGCACGAAGCATTCGCACTGGCGCAGTTTTCACCACAGCGCGATCGATTAGACTTGACAGTCGATTCAAAAACAACGATAAAACGAGAAAAACAAGCGGACTGAATTCAAGCCGGTAGAACGTAATAAAAATTGATTTACAGCCGCAGAAATATCACTGCATGCAATATTTATGGCATTCAGCATTTAATACCTAAAAAACTATACGAAACTGTGCATCATTATGTAAACTGGTATTTTTATGGCAATTTAAATTAATTCACTTATGATAAACGCTGCATTGCAAAAAATTAAATGCGATTCTGCAAATGTGCATGCGGTTTTATCGGATGCTGTGCGAAACAAGAAATACCGCTGTGTTTACCGTTAGCGGCGCTGTTTCATTCTGGTTCATATCCGCGTGGGGTTACGGTTGTTTTTTGTTTGTTGGTGTGTGTTCTATTGAGTTTACAATGGCGATTATAAATATGACTTCATACGGCGGTGGAGAGGCAGCAAATTCATAAATGTTGTAATTGGAGGCAGACATGGTTTGGGAATGCGGGGTACGGTCTGCAAAAAGGGCCGGCCAGGTGCCGAGCGTAATGGCTTAACAGAGTCGCGCATTAAGGTAATGAGCACGTACTGCCCGCAGCTATAGCTATGCCTTAAACGCGGTGGAAAACGGTAGGCTTTTTGTTTGGTCTAATGGTCAACATTTATAGCCATCTTTTATTTTGCTACTTTATTTAATGTTATCAAGAAGAGAAGTTTTTTTAATCTGACCAAGAGGAAAAGAAAAAAACTCTACCTAGAGTAAACGCAGGCGCAGTAAGTAGTTTGACAATTTTGATGTTCCGAATTTAAGTTTTCAAGCTTCCTAACGAACTTTCTGTACTTTTAATCTTTGACATGACAAAATATGCAGTAGTTTTCCAAGCAGTTTTTGGTTTATGTGTTAGATGATGTAGGTAAGGAATATATTCATTTGCTGCCTATAAAAATGTTTTTTTTAAATAATTTTCACTACTTTAATTACCCAATTCTTAGAAATATGAAGGTTTTGTAGTATTAAGATTTTATGGTAGAGACACACAATGTGTTTGTTTAATGTTGTTTAGAAAAGAAAAGCAAAAAGATAGGATTTTTAGTGTTCTCGTTCGCTGGGCCTACTGAAATTGACACATTGGCCTTCTTACGCATCGAGCGTTGAGCTGAGGTCCTGTTGAATGTAGCGCGCATTGCTCGACGCGCACTGCACTTTTACTATAGATTTCTATAGTCATTGGATATTTGTTTTACACACTAGTTTTATTCAATACTAGCTTTCCACCCGCGGCTTCGCCCGCGTGGAATTTTTCGGTTTTTAGGGTTCCGTACCTCAAAAGGAAAAAACGGAACCCTTATAGGATCACTTTGTTGTCCGTCCGTCCGTCTGTCAAGACCCTTTATCTCAAGAACGCGTGAACGTATCAAGCTGAAATTCACATGAAATACTCAGGTCTATTGTCCCTTTAAGCTGTGAAAATATCAAACTTCTAAGCCAAGCCAATCAAAAGATACAGCCGATTATGTCGATATTTTCAACAAATTTTCGACACTCGCAAAGGAATCAAAACCTACAGGATACTTCCCGTAAACTCAGAATCATGAAATTTGGCATAAAGCATTGTCATATAATGCAAATATAGGAAAAATTGCGAAAATTTCATTTTTTTAGTTATATAATATAATAAAAATATTTTAATAAAATGAAACTTACTACCTTATTTCTCACGAACGAATAAAGGTATCAAATTGAAATTTATACCAAATACCTAGATCTATTGTCCCTTTAAGAAGTAAAAAAATCAAACTTCTAAGTTAACGCGATCAAAAGATACAGCAGTTTATACCGACACCTTAGACGAATTTCCGTCACACGCTAGGGAATCAAAACCTACAAGGTACTTCCTGTGAACTCAGAATCTTGAAATTCGGCACGAAGCAACGTTATATAGTACAGATAAAGGAAAAATTGCGAAAATGATAAATTTGAAGTTATATAAAATTTAAAATATTATTTTTGCTTACATGACATAAAATATTTTTTTAATAATTATAAACTTACTACCTACCCTTTTTCACATGAACGCGTAGAGATATTAAAGTTGAAATTCATATCAAACACTTCTTAAATCTAATTGCCTCTAAACTGTGAGAAATTCTAAATCAACGCAAAAATTCAAAACGCTGAGGTAGGTACCTACCTATAATGCAAATATAGGAAAAATAAATAAATAAAAAATAATCATACCGCATATTTTGAAATTCGCCACTACTCGCAACGGAATCAAGTAAGTAATTTGATTTAATACGTCATAAATTGTAAACCGCTACGTTTGTACGGCGGAACCCTCGGTGTGCGAGCCCGACTCGCACTTGGCCGGTTTTTTATACATATAACCTATGACACTCAGCAACAATGTAGCTTTCTATTGGTGAAAAATTTTTTAAAATCGGTTCAGTAGATCCCGAGATTACCCCTTACAATTTAACAAATATACAAACACACAAACTGTACCTCTTTATAATATTAGTATAGATAATATTATTTAATGATCTCCAAATTATCTAACCCAAATCTAGGTAGAGCTTGTACAATAGTTAAATTAACTTATCCGCTAGTAGCCAATAATTTCAAAGGTATAACGAGATACATAGGTAAATATATTTAATGGTGTTCAGGTATAATAAAGTAAATTAATTACTTGCTTCAGGCCATTCGCAATTGTGCGAAATTGTATGACAATTTACTACCGATTCCAGTGTATGAAGTACCCAGTATGAAGCAAAAGATTTGTCTGTCACTATGGTTACTGTGGGCTGAGTGTGAGTGTTAAACAAATGTACGAAAATTTTAGTTTTTGAAAGTTTCCCGCTAGGGGCGCTGTACAATCCATCATACATTTAATGTCATTTTTTGACGCGCTCACTAGTAAGCGCGTTTAGTAAAAACTTACACTAGGCCCTCTGTAATGTTTATAGTAGAGTCAACCCTGCTTGAAAATTTGACAGCTGTTCAAACCATAAATATGTAGTTTATTTTATTTTCTTTTTACTTGTTGTAGAGCCAACAGTGAAGCTGCATATGACGCATCCAGTACGTGGCGTCGCGCTGATTCAATTTTTACAGTGGGCTCCAATAAAAACTGACAATTTTTCTAACTTTACACC